TTAGGCAAAGCCCAGTGAGCCAAGCATTCAGACATCCTCATTGGATAAGGCAAGATAGAAGCAACTGGTGTTCCAGTTTCTACTTCCTCAGCGTCATAAGCAGGATTATCAGGATTGTTGGGAAGGGCCCACCTTGAAAGGCCATCTGCATTCTTATGGACAATACCTTCTCTATGAACAATAGTCATAGACCCTCTCCATTCCTGGATTGCAATTTGCCACCTAAGCATGTGTCTGTTGGGTGTCTTCATATTCAACAAAGATCTTAAAGCATTGCAATCAGTGATCACATCAAATTCACATCCGTCAAGATAATAATAAAGTTTATCCAATGCCCAAACTAGACAAAGGCATTCTAGCTGAGAAGCTCCATACTTTTTCTCAGATTCTTTCAGCTGTCGTGAGATGAAACAAATTGGGCCTTCTACAGGTTTATCATCAATTATTTGTACTTGATGTAATGCAGCTCCTATCCCTTCCATACAAGCGTCAACATAAAGTTTAAACCTTTCTTTTGGGTCAGGATGAAACAACAGAGGTGCATTAGTCAAGGCAAATTTAATGGACTCATAAGCTTGTACTCTTTCAGCCGTCATTTCAAAGACTACATTAGGACTACATAATTTGTAAAGACTTGAAGCCATAGCTCCAAAGTCTTTGATGTGCAGTCTGTAGTAACCTGCAAAACCAAGGAACATCTGCATTTCCTTGGTATTTTGGGGTGTAGGCTTGAGTAAGACTGCGGCAACTCTATGTTTATCTATACCTAAGGATAGACCATTAACAATATGACCCAAAGCTTTAATTTCCTGAAAACCAAACTGGCATTTTGACAAAGATATTTTCATATTCATCTTGATAATTTTTTGAAGAATAATTTCCAAGCGTAACAAATGATCTTCCCAGTTATCTGAAAAAATTATAATGTCATCTATGTATATAATAAGCCAGAGTTGATTCAACTCGTGTGAGAATTCAGTGTCCATCATACGCTGAAATGTGAAGGGGCATTTTGATACCAAAAGGCATCCTAAGGTACTCAAAATACTAAGTGACAGACAATCCTGAGGAATTGTCTACTGTCTTTGTGAATCACATTTTGATGAAAGCCTTTAAGGACATCCATGCACGTAATGTATTTAGCTTTATGCAATTTAGTTAAAGACTCCATAATTTTGGGCATAGGATACCTATCTGGGTTGGTGTAACTGTTGAGAGCTCTAAAGTCACCAACTAATCTGGACTTATTATTATGCCAAGCTATAATAACTGGAGTAGTGATGTCTACATTTTTGTTTGCACCTACCTTTCTAATGACTTTAAGTTTTAACAAAGCTTGAATATGTTCTTCTAAAGCCTCTCTGCTTCTGGGGCTAGCAGGGTAAGGGGCTTTCCTCAGAGCTGGAGGGTAAGGTTTATCAATATTCAAAGTCAATTGGACCTCGTGTCCTTTAATGGCTCCAAATGGTTCTTCTACAGTAGCAAAGGCCTTCCTGTTAACAAAAAGCAATTGGAGAAGTTGGTCTTTGTGTGTAGAGGACAAAGAAGAACTAATTTTGGAGCTGTCTTGCACTTCTTTATTAAAACAATCCTGTTCAGGTAAAGTGACGGCTACTGTGGGAGACATCTCTTGATGAAAGTAGTGCTTGTCTTTACTGTCCCCAATCTTAAAGTAACTACCTGCATCATTCATGATGGAAATTTTGAAATGACTTAAGTAATCATTGCCAATAATAAAATAATTAACAACTGCATTCTCAATTACTATAAAGTCAATCACAAAGGAGTAATCTTTAAACTTTAGGTTAACCCTGACAATACCTAAAGTGGACAATTTGTCTGAACAGCTATGAAATTTATCTTTGGATTGACCTCTAACAAATTTTTTCCAATGCGGGCAATACTTAGCCAAATATTGATGACCCACTACTGACTTGAAAGCACCAGAATCTAAAAGTACTTTACAACTTTTTCCTGCGCAGTTCATAGCCACTACTTTGTTGCTTCCTGTAATAGAAGTAATAAAGTAATCTAGTACATTGGATTCTACACAGATAATTCCTGGGGAATCATCTTCCAATTCTAAGTCACTCTCAGAATCCATACCTGCATCCTCTTTGCAATCTTCTTCATTAATGACATATACTTTCTTAGAATTTTTAGGGCAATTCCTGGAAGTATGACCCATCTTTTCACAAGAATAGCACTTAACATCTTGATTAGACTTAGACGTTGGATTAGTAGCTTTGTCTGTAGTACTGCTGGATGCATAACTCTTGTTACTTTGTCCGTAAGGAGTTCTTCTCTTACCTATACTGGTGTAGTCAGTAATGTCTTCCAACACATTAATTAAGGATGTTAGTGTCTGATTGCCTTTCATGGCATTCTGGGCAGCAAAGCTCACTTCTCCATCCATCTGTGTCAACAATTTAAACATTAAGCTCTCATGGTTGGTTTGAGGCTCACAAGCCATAATTCTTTTGTATTGTCTAGTGACCCAATTTCCTGCTGGGGTACTACCTGGGATGAATTTATCTTTCAAGTAAATATTCAACAATTTCCTTCTCCAAGATGAGGTCCCAAACTTTTTGTTGATTGCCTGTTTCCAAAAAGACCAGGATTGATCACCAACCATATCTCTTACAGTAGAAAACCAGGGGCGGGCTGAACCTGTAAACATATACTTCAGCCTTGAGGTGATAACAATGTCTTCAATCCTGGCATCTTCCTGAATTGTGTCTATAGTTTTAATAAAGTCCACATGGTTATATTCTCCATCACCTGAAAATACAGGCCAGGCTTCCATCTTGGTCAGACCTTGTAAAATGACTTTACTTGACTCAGGGGAGATCTGGATTGGCGCCACAGGGGTTTCTCTGGGTTGAACCTCTGGAATGTCAAAAAATTCACTAAGTCTGCCTGGATCAGGGTCAGTACTTTTATTGTGAATTTTGAAAAATTCCTGGTTGTTGTTCAAAGAAGCATTCTGATGTGGTTTCACTTCTGGAACAGCAGAGGGAACTGTGTTCCTGTGTGTGGAAAAAATTGGTTCATTCCTAGAAGCAGTAGGATATGATGTTGAAACTCCAGGTACACATTTCATCTCACCAATTTTTTCCAATAGAGCATTAAATCTTTTCTCATTGTTACTTTCCATCACTAATAATTTGGAATTAATATCAGAGACAGGTTGATTTCCTAATTCAATAAGATAGTCCAACTTATCATTTACCTCTTTAAGTAATTCATGCTCAAATTTCAGTTCTGAAATTTTTGCATGACAAGAACAAATATTATTACCTAAGGTTTGATTGTCATTGTTGACAGACAAAGAGGGCTTAAAGGCATCATGACATTTCTCTGGTTGTTTGCCTTTGTCAATCTTGGTATTTAAAGAAGAAGAAGGGAACAAATCCTGGACTGGCTCTTTTAGTTGATTACTATATGGCCCTTTGCCAAAATCACTGGATGACAATTTGTCTCCAAAGTCTTGTAAAAACATATCTAATTTCTTTTTATTCTCTTCTAATTTATCATAAACTAGGGAAAACAAATTATCAAATGCTTTATGAGACAAATCTTCTCTATTGTCAATGGATTTTAAACTCCCCTGAATATTTTTTAATTCATTCATAACTGTAGCAGGAGCTGAAAAAGTAGAAATTTGAGAAATACTGTCTTTAACTAGAGAAATGTCCTTAAAAGTGTCTTTTGAAATTTTTTCTATGGGGGAAAGGGAACTCATAATTTTATTCAGATAAGCAATGGTGTTTTCAGATGAGAAGGAAAGGGAACGGAAATGAGGCTCTATGGAGTCAAACTTATGACTAAAAAGATTCTTAATATCTATGGAGGCTTCCGACCTAATCTGCTTAGAGACAGCAGCAAAATTACAGTCAATAATTTTCTCAATAGAATAGAAAAGATTCTGTAAGAGAGGGACTAACTGTTCTGCAGTTAGTAGTTTTGATTCGCCCCTCCCTCTTGGGGTTGACGACGACTCCCGTATCCTGCGCTCTGTTCGCGCATCGCCTCCAAGGCTTGGTACTGCGCTTGGGTGGTGCGATTGAGTCGTATCATTTCTTGATGTATCGATCTTTGATGAGCGATGCGACGGTTTTCTCTCGCTGTCTGAGAATTCGTGCGCTGGCGAGGCCCGTTTGGATTCCTCGGGCGGAAATTGGTTGCTCTGTATTCTTGGTTGCGGTGATTGTTCGAGTTGCGGTTCCGATTGCGACTGCGATTGTTTGCACTGTGAGGACGATTGTGAGCCTCGGTGGGGTAGTGCTGGTGACCCTGAATCGTCTCTGGGTTGTTCTGAGCGTTCCGGTACTGTTCGTACGGTTGTACGTTCGCTGACGGGGGAGGGTTCTCTGCCGAGTAGCGAAAGTCCATCTGCGCCTGACGTTGGTTCGATGAGTCTGTCGTCTGGTTCCTTTGAACCGATTCCGGAGGTCTCATCTCTACTTCTGGCGATGGCGAGGGGGTCACTGCTACCCCTTCCTTCCTCCAATAGTTTCGGCCCGCTTGGCCGGTCAGATAATCTTGGTACTCCGCTATCGGGTCCCACCTGTTGAACAAACTCAGGAATTCTTCTTGATTCATCGCCCTGAGCAGATTGGACTGAGCTGACGAAGCGGCTCTCAACGCCACTATCTTCAAGTCTTCGTCCTTCGTCTCTAGCGCTTTGCGGTAGTATTCCTGTTGTAGTTTCACCGTTTGAAGAAGAGGATGAAACGACGGGCGATACTTTTGTAGAATGTCTTCCTCTAGGGGCCCCTTTGGAATCTTGGGCTTCGACCAGAGTTGGGCGGTGGCTCCTGGTTTTAGACATAGCGAAAGGAAACACAAAAATCAACAAGTGAAGCTACGATTTAGGCTTATGATTGTTCTCGCTAACCTGTAATGATATCTAGATCACTGCTATCAGCTGGTTCGTAGGGTTCGGTCGTGAAAGAACCGCTCGGCAAAACAGACGATGAAGATGAGATCGATCTAGTGGTTCTCCCCTGGGGAACAAAATAGTTCTCGAGTTTCTTCTGGACTGTAGCGTCGCTCGAGATTTTTGGGAGAGAGGGAAGTACGGACGAAACTGGAGCTGGATGTATCGTAGTCTGGGCAGCGCTGGAATCGACTGGATGTTGAAAAAGATCCGGCTGTTGATTCTTGGCTTCGTTAATCGGTTCAGTTGGCTGAACGATTGAGACGGTAGTAGCGGTCGACGTTCCCTTAGGAATGGACTTCTTGAAGTTAATGTTCTTCAAGAGATCGCTATCGACGAGCTTGTCGACTGGTTTGTTGCTCTTAAACGGATCGGAGGTCGTAGAGGACTTTTTTAAACCTGGTGCGATTGAAGACGGTGGTTTAGGCTTATCTGACTTCGTTGCTTCGTCTGAGCTCGTGTCCCACTCGGACGGCACAATTTCTGGGCTGATTGGCTTCTTCGCTTTTTTCTTTGGGATTTTCGTGCTAGACCTCTTGGGAGCTGTTATCGATTGAGCTGCGCTGGTCTGTTCTGCGGTCGATGCTTGCTTCGCCTTAGAATCCTTGGTGGTAGAAACGTTTGAAGGAGTAGACACTTGCAGGAAAAGATGATAGTAAGAAATTGATCTGAAATGCTAAATCAAATCCAGTCTGAAAAAAAACTACTGACTGATCAAATAGCAGTCCCTTTTTGTAGACGTCGCACTACTCTTGAGTACTTGATAGAACTAACAAAAAACCAAAAGCGGGCCAGATGGAAAAAAAAAACGTCAGTTGTGAGATTTATGATCAACATCAACTGAAAGAAAACAGCCGATCAAATTTTCTAGAACTGACTGTT